AGGGGTGCTGGTGCCCCTGTAGGGTGCTGGTGCCCCCATAGGGGTTGCTGGTGCCTCTATAGGGTGCTGGTGCCCCCATAGGGGTGTTCTGCCGTCCCTTTAGGGTGCCGGTGCCCCCATAGGGGGCTGGTGCCCCCATAGGGGTTGCTGGTGCCTCTATAGGGTGCTGGTGCCTCTATAGGGTGCTGGTGCCCCCATAGGGGTTCTGGCGCCCCGTCGGGTGCTGGTGCCCCTGTAGGGTGATGATGTCCCATAGGGTTCTGGTGCCTCTATAGGGTGCTGGTGCCCCCATAGGGGGGTGCTGGTGCCCCTATAGGGTGATGATGTCCCATAGGGTGCTGGCGCCCCATAGGGAGGTGCTGGTGCCCCCATAGGTGTTGCTGGTGCCTCTATAGGGTGCTGGTGCCCCCATAGGGGGGTGCTGGTGCCTCTATAGGGTGCTGGTGCCCCCATAGGGGGGTTCTGGTGTCCCTTTAGGGTGCTGGTGCCCCCATAGGGGTTGCTGGTGTCCCTTTAGGGTGCTGGTGCCCCCATAGGGTGCTGGTGCCCCCATAGGGGTTGCTGGTGCCCCTGTAGGGTTCTGGCGCCCCGTCGGGTGCTGGTGCCCCCACAGGGGTTGCTGGTGCCTCTATAGGGTGCTGGTGCCCCCATAGGGGGGTTCTGGCACCCCTGTAGGGTTCTGGTGCCCCCATAGGGGTTGCTGGTGCCTCTATAGGGTGCTGGTGCCCCCATAGGGGTTCTGGCGCCCCTTTAGGGTGCCGGTGCCCCCACAGGGGGGTGCTGGCGCCCCGTGGGTGACGCCGGCGTCCCGCAGGGCGCGGGCGTGATGTCGGTGTACCTGTTCACCAAGCGCTACGCGGAGGAGGAGTTGTACCGGACCCCCGCGGCGCTGCTGAGGCCGCGGCTCAGCGCCTGCTCCGGGCTCTCCGGGCAGTTCCTGCAGCCCCGCGCCTGGCCCCGCGCCCGCAGCCCCTCCGACGCCTCTTCCGACGTCTCCATCCAGATGACGCAGAGTTACCCCCCCGCCATCCAGTACCCCCCCCGCGGCCGGCTCTCCACGTCGCCGTGCTAAGGGAGGGGCGGGGGGCGGCGGGGGGGAGGGGGAGGGGGGTCAGTGGGGACAACAGGATCAGTGGGGTCATTGGGGTCAATGGGGCGGTGAGGGTGGTGGGGGTGGTGGGGTCAGTAGGGTCAATAGGGTCAA